GATTGAGTTTATTTAAATTTATTTAAACCCAAACCTAGTTCCTATTTAATGTTTAGGAATCCTAGGCATGTTTCTATATTCCATCATCCCACGAATATGAAAAATACATAATTTAAACATGTAAAAATTCACACTGGAAATTAAATCAAAATCAAGCATTTATCAATTCATAACACAAAAACAGATATGAACCAAATTCATAAAACCTATGTTCTAATCCAATTAAACATGCATAATTATTTAATTTTATGTGTTTAATAAATTCTGAAATTTCCTAAGCATGTACAGAAACACGAATCAAAGGGAAAGACACTACAACAGAAGTGGGTTTTTACGATAGAGTATTTACGAGGATCTCTTATTTTGCCTCGTAGAAGCTACTTTTTACGAGGCTTATAAGATGCTACTTGTAATTGTGACCTTTTAGGTCACACTTTCACTAGTGTTAATTAGAATCCTCGTAAAAAAATGTTTTTACAGGAGGTTAAAGATCCCTTTTATTGTTTACATATATTATTAACAAGGGAATTTTCCCACTTTAACGGGAGAAAAATTTCTTTGTCTATAATAAAACTTTTAAGGCACACTTTTTGTCCCGTGAATAAGCAAAAATATTCATCTCCCAAAATTTCCCACTCCCGCGCCACTCACACTCAACTGGAGCCACTTAAAATATATATATATATAACTAAAAATAAATTCACTCTTTCTTATTTCCGGATGAAACCTCTCTCTCTCTCTCTCTCTCTCTCTCTCTCTCTCATGCCCAGGAAACCACCGCTCAAATTTGTGAAATTGGCTTCGCTCAAACATTCCAACCTACTTGATCTATATATATATATATATATATACACAATTGGAATCTTAATTATGTATAAGATATCATATATGCACACACATCCGTGCGTGTGCATTTCTTTTTTGTTGATCCAATATATATATGTGTGTGTATAGTGTATACACCAACTTTTGACATAATGGAATTGATCTAGGGTTGGGTTTGCGATAATTAAAGTGGAAACTCAAATTGTGTAGTTCATGGAGAATACCCATGGCCAACCTGCACGTTTGGGGGTTCTTTTTAGGGTTTTGTTTAACAACAATTTGTGACCCTCATCATTTTAAAAATCTTAATTTATTTTCATTGTATATGTTAGTAGAAATTCTTAGATATACTATATGCATTTTATATTTAACTCGAATGTATCAGTATTAAAGTGACTAAACTGAATAGTGTATACTTAAATATGAATTATTGCACGACATATTTTTTTTTCCAATATAATTATAATGACACTAGATCTATTGAAATGATACACATTAATTAAAAGATTGGATGATTGATTGTGAGTGGAAAATTATTATAAAAGATTATGGCTTTTCATGCTCATAGTTGGCCTAATTCTTAATTGGTCACACGAGGAAGTACATTAATAAAATTTTGATCGATTAACATTAAAAATAGAAAATAATAAATGCATTTTACTTTTTATAATTTTTATTTTTACTTTTTAAAATAAATGTATATTTTTATTCTTTCAAAATTAAATTTTAAATGCTCCTTGTACTTCTTCCTCAAAAATTGAATAAAAGACGATAATATCATTTCCAGTTCTTATTATTAAAGCTCGTAGGAAGAGCTTAGTTAACATTACAACATTTTGTTTGGATGTAAAATATTTTTTTTATTTTTTTGATTCTTCATTGCTATAAAATATTTATGAAGAAAAAAATTATCAAAATTTAACAAAAATAACTTACATATCGACTTTTGACAAGTTTTTTTACACGTTTTATCCGATAAACTCAACCTCAACATCGACCTAGACTTTTATCAAATACCAAAAAATACAAATAAAAAAATTATTTTACCAACAAACGGAGCCTTAAATGAAACTTTAAAATTAAGTTTGTCAAGACAACTAAAAAAATCAATGTTCAAAGCACTCCATTTGCAATCTTATATTTTTCCAAGTCCGGCATATAATTTTTCTAGTAAACATCTAATGATTTATTTAAATAAGAATAAAGAACAAAAATATAAAATCACGCTGCATAAAAAATTGGGCCAAAACCATAATTGTAGTTTAGTATATGCATATAAATCCCTAACATGCAAAGTGATGATGAATAAAAATAATAATAATTATTATAATTATTAGAATAATATTCTACTCATTAAAAAGTTGAATGTGAAAGTATAAGTCCAGACTAAAGCTATGGAAAATATTATTTTATTATAATACTTGTGCAATTAATATTGACAATTTGGCATGAATTTCAAGTAACTCTTTACATCCTGTTATTTGATAGTCATACCAATAATCCACCAACTCCAATTTAGCTTTATAATAAAATTATCACCTTACATTGTTGAGGTTGAATTTTTTTTTTTTTTAGGCCCGACAATGGTTAATATTTAACTGGGGGTGGAGAAATTGAACCTAAGATTAATAAGGTGAGGCCGCTTTAAGTTGTCATTTTATCAATCGGACAACATCGCTACCCCTTGTAGAGGTTTTATTATTATTATTTTATCATTGGCAAGAGACTCACACACCGATTTTGTTCTTTTGAAGACTTGAACCATCACCATTCACTTCAAGAGGTAAAGAATATATCACCGGACCACAAGCCTTGGTACCCCTCTAGAGGTTGAATCTACTTGTGATCATTTACGAGTATTTTCATTTGCTTCAGCTTACAATTTACTATGACATAAAAATATATATATGACTTCCCCAATAGTCTGTATCTCTCTCACACACATACTTCAATGATATATTGGGCGAGTCAAGTACATTATGTCATTGTTAATTTGTTATGTTCACTCGATAAAAATACAACTTATCAGCTTGTTGGTATTTTTTATAAGCGGGTGGAACTTATAGGCATTTCCCAAGGGCTATGATTCGAAAGTAACAACAGACTCGGTGAGATAAAAAAAAAATATAAAATATAAAATAATAAAAAACATGTGATAAAGAATATATTTTGTGTTTTAGTGAAGAAAAAAAATGGTGATGTATTATTACTAATGCTATTGGAAAATTAAATAAAAGATTAATAATTGAAGTTGAATTGGGAGATCTTAGAAAATATTAGAGAGGTATTTTATTATGATTTTTTTACAATTAAATTTCTTACCTCGTGGATTTTAAATACCTTGTCATTGGAAGTCCACATATATCAAGACAAGTTCTATTTTTCTCCCTAATTTTCTTTCTTAAGTGTTTGAATTGGACATGTCTCTCCATTAGCCTTTTGGGATATACCAAAATTCTGAGAAAGTATTCAGATTTTGGGAGGAAAATGACAGAAATTTCCTCTCCTTCATCTACCCTCTAATCAATCACAATAGGTTAGTTCATGTGGATTATATGGAACCTACAAGACTACGTAATTTTACGGAATGTATAAGTCTATGAGTTTGTACGTACCTGCTAGTTCAACTGGTAAGGTCTTTGAAAGTACTCTTTCTAGATTTTAGATTCAAATTCACCCAAAAAAAAAAAATATAAACAAACATAAGCTAAGATTTCATTTGTATATATTTTTTTTTCCCTCCATATTTCATTTGTAATATTTTTTTCCTAAATTATTTCATTTGTAATTTCATGAAACTTGTAACCTGTTATTAATAAACAATTGAATATTATGATAGTTCGTTGGAAGCTATTATGATTTATGGCACAATTCGCAAGTACAAAGACATATTCTGTTTAATAGGATTATTGGCAAGTATAAAGACATTGCGCAAAAAATACCCTTTTCTCATAATTATTGCATAGTATTCTTTTCGGTCTTTTTACAAAATTATTTATTTTTATATATTTTATAAAATAGTTTAATAAGGATAATTTAATTAACTTAAGGTTTAAATATGTAATAGGAATCTAATTGCACCAAATTAAAATTTGAGGGGTGTTTTTTTTTTTTTTTCGCACGTGTGAAATATGATATGCATTGTGAGTATATTTTAAAGATATTTTATGCACTTGACACTTCATTTTTCCCTGTCCTATTACATGTTGACGATCCATACCATTTTGCTTATATATTATAGAAATATGAAACTTTTACATGATATATAAATGTATGACAAGGAGCAAGTATTGGCACAATAGTGGCCCGCATGTTGAACGAAGAAAACAAAATGGAAATCAACCTTGGTCGAAGTGACCCAAGTAGGGATGGGCAAGGGTTTGGGTCGGCGGAACCCCAACCCATCCCCATTTAGCCGAGCTCCTCCGTTTATACGGGATTGGGCGAGTAACTTTTATAATTATATTACATTACGAATCCATTTATAATTATATTACATTACGAATCTGATAAAAAGAAACAGATTTTCAAGCTTGATAATAATTACTATTTTTTTTTATAATAATTACTATTTTTTTTTTATTTAATGTTATCCTAAAAATATCATGATAATATATAAAAATTCTCAAATAAGTATAATACAAAAGGAAATCTAGCGATTGAAATATGATAACCCAATGTTTGCTTTACTATATACCTGATATTTTAAAATATAAAATAAATTATAAGGGCAAAATTATAATTTATTTATATAAACAAGTCGGGATGGAAAACTTTTTTCCATTCCGTCCCAGTCCCAAAATCATTTAACGTACAAATATATACTATTCAAAGGTAGGTTCAACCGAGAAGAGATTGATCTCATATATGCTATTCTTTCTACTTTTGCTTTCCAGCACCACAATCTAATAAGAAACTACAGAACTAGAGAACTCATTCAGGTACCTTCTAGTGTGCGACTCTTAATGTGCTTGTTCAACTGCCAAACCAAAACATTGAAAAAAATCAACAATAATGATTTAAAGACCGAATTCGGTAATTATCGAATTCAATTTATGTGAGTAATGTGATTGGTCCTATTAGATGATGTCAACATGACATCATGTGATAGGACCAACCACCCTTCTCACATAATCACTACTCAAAATAAATTATACTAAAGGATTCAATAAAATTTTCATGCACCATTTTTCTGTCATCTGAGAAACAACCCCTTGATCAAATCTAGTTTTCAAAACTATCAAGGTGGACAGTAATACTCAAAAATTTATCTTCCAAAAGTAACTGAAACAATGATCTCTTCAGCCCAACATACAATACCAACTCAGTAAAGATGCAAAAAACATACTCAAATGAGACATTCTGAACCACAAATGGTCCATACAACCTTAGCTGTCTCAAGGTTATCGGTTCAAAAATAGATATTCACAAAATAACTGAACCTAAAAAAAAAAAAAAAAATTGGTTTTAATGCGATACTCACTTTTGTTTACAAACAAAAGCCATAACACGAGCAGAGGACCTAGATGAGCAAGAAATTCATATGCACCATTTTGCTGCCATCAGAGAAAACTGAAAATTCTTTATAGCAAGCATCGACTTGTGTCCTTAGCAGTGAACCAGCCCAGTCCCACACGAGGGAGTGACTGAGTGGAAGCAAGGAAGAATCGTAGAAGTAACCAGAATATCAAGAAATAATATACCATCACGATTGATCACTGTTGCTCGTCGCCGGGCAGCTCCTCACCAAGGCCACCTTGTGCAAGTCTGTAATACAGAATGCCCATCGTACCCATGCATGCCCTGCATGTAAATTATGGAACACTTGCATTAGTGAATTTAGGCATGTTTTATGAACGGAAAAAAGTGAGAAAATAACAACTTCAAATCTTGTGTTTTTTCTCTGTCTAGGTTAAGACTGGAACGATAATGATGCTCATAGTTTTTTCCAGAATGGCAATAATGATAATGCTAATAATTGTTTGTTTGTCGGTCTCTCTAAATGGGCCAGAAGTGAGACCTTGATAGGAGGCTTATAAGCAACACTCCTGCATCAACAGAAGAGAACCTATATTAATTACCCGAGAGGTGGTTGGTGCTAACAGTTGCCCCACGTTTTATCAGAACAAATATCCACATTTCAACTAGTGCAAAAGAAAGAATTCCGAGCAAGATCAAATCACTGCAATCATCTGATAGAGAGAATTCTACCATACAAGGCTTACAACACGTTTGATAGTGTACGCCAAATGAACACCAGTATGGTATCGCACCTTGACTGACACCCAAAAGCAAATCTCTCGAGTCCAACCACTGAATCGCTTGATTCTGTAACATAACTTTCATCTGTATTCTTTATACATTCCCTTCTCCAGCAACAACCATTTATGGTGCACCTTGCCTGAAATCACATGATTGCAGTCATCTGACAGAATTCTACCCCACAAATAAATTTGGCCAGGTGCGGCATATGAACACAAGCATGGGAAATACGCCATGCCTGCACACCCTAAAACAAAATCCCTATTAGATCAATTGGTTCATTGATTCAATCACTGAATATTCATCTGTACTTTGCAAATTCCTTTTGTTATTAATTCTCTTATGTGGGGAAAAATATGGGAACAACGCAATAGGAACCAGTTAAGAGATCCGCAAACATTACATGATTGCTATGAAGAGAAGGATTTTCCTTGGATCCATCCTTGAGGATCTCTGATGCCGCAAACGACCTTCTGGGACATCATCTGCATTTGATGCATCTTTTCTTGGCGGTGCAGTCACTGGAAGGACTGGTAATGCACTCGACGATACAGGTAGCAATGCCCTAAGCAACTTATTGCGGAAAGAACCTGCAATTGAGAGCCTCATTAATTTGAAAATAGAGAATTCTTTTATGGTATCTCATGAAATGACAACATAACATGCATTAAATAAAACAAAATGAAAAGGCAAACAGAATGAACTCAAAAACATCTTCATAAGTTTGAGAAATGCCTTAATTCCAACAGTTTGGTACGAAGATACTGAAAACCATGAAATATTCAACCAGAAGTAAATAAAAGTATAGCATGAGGAAGATTAAACAAATTTGACAAGTATCAGGGATAGAAGGATTCATTTCTAGCACCAACTATAATGCAAAGTTTGTCATCAAGAAGGTCATATAACAATAAGATTGCAATTCATATATAAAGAGGAGAAGCAACTATTCACCCCTTCGCGTGTACTCTTTCCGATTTCCATCTTCATCATCTGTGTAATATGAAATTTCAGAGTTTTGCCTATCAACTTGGAAAGCAGTCTTTCGCGTTGTAGCACCAGCCTGCATATTGTTGCAATTTTTTTATGAAGAGGATATATAAGACACCAAACTAGAAACTAGAAAATACACATCAGACAAATGTGCATAAACAAACATGCTAAATCAGTATATACACGTCGTAAGGAAAAGAAATGACCAATACATCCCAATTTAAATGCAATGATTAACAAGGGAATCTTCTTACACCAGAAGGACTTGCATTTTTCACGAAACTGGACTCATGATTAGACAGGGATGGACTTGCCGAGTTAGGACCATCTATCTCCACAATATCTGTGAATGAAGAATTAGTAGGCCCTGTTCCAGCTGCAGCCGAGTAACCTTCAGAATCTTTAGCAACTGAAGATGACAAGCTTGCATTATACTCTCTCCCTCCAGTTGCAGATGCATGCATCAGTGGATCTGATGCAAAAGCAGGAGGAGGACCACGGGATTCTGTAGCTAGCAATGAAACTGGATGGTTCCCAAATAAGTTCTTCTCCAGACTACAACAGAAACATGGAAACACGGTATACAATGTCACAGGGATATTAATTATCAAGACCATTGACTCTAGCTTTCATGTATAATGCATAAACACAATGCCAGGCTTCCCTTCACCTAGTTCAATTGCAGCACTTGAATCAACCTATATGTGGAGTGGGTTGGAATAGCCAAAAGCTTGCTTGGCCTGGTTCATTTACTTTGTCTCTCTGTTGCATTATAATCTGCACCACATATAGGACCCTATAGGTTGGACAAAATAACTTTGGCTACAAACATGCCCAAAATGTTTTCTTTGTATACGCTTCTATCAGAGTACCAACTTTAGATTATGTCTCCTCATATCTAAATTCCTCGCATAATGAATTCTCATATATTTACTGACGGAATCACTTGAACAGATGAAAGTACTTCCAAAGTCACCTCATCTATACCATTGCTAAAGAGGCAAATAAGAAAATGTAAAAGGATCCTTCTCCTTCGTGTTTTTATTCATCCATCAAAGACGATGGAAAAAATCACCGCAGTATAAGGACCGCAACTTTCAAAAATAAGACCAATAACAGAGACGATTTGTTATACCTTATTTATTATATGTGGTGAAACTTGTGCGGTTTGATGGAAAAAGATTTCTAAGGGGAAAAAAACAAAGATGTCAAATAGTGTCATAGAGTAACAAATCCATTCCAGCAAGTTTAGAGCAAACTATCAGAATTACCAGCATAATTGCCTCCTTCAGCTTCGAATGAAGACGGGATCCTGAATCTTTGACAATTTTTGGAGGCCATATCTGCAACAACAAAGCACCATTTAAAACAAACCACCCAATGCAATAAACACAGCCAAAACAACTTCTAAATCAACACCATATTCCCATGAGTACTTATTATAATGCATATCCCAAAGGATTCTGATTTTCCTAGTAAATGTCAAAAAGAATTGAGGTCACTAAAACCAAGCACAATTTAAGATGACTTCCTCAGTTCTCTACTATTAATTCATTGATTGCAATAAGTGGTTTGAATTCATCCATTAAGTTAATAAAGGATAATGAGGCCTATGCCATGCATACTGAAGCTTTCCAGGGTTAAGCCTTTTGAATGTCAGGATCAAGTTATATTACACCTTGTTCCGTATGTCTATCAATAAGCTAGACCAAATGTAAACCATCCCAAACAGAACAAAAGTACTCACGCTAGCAAAAGTTGTTTGTTGGATTGAGAAGTTCAATGTCATTTTGGTTCTTGGAATGTGAACCAGTTCATGACTAGGATCAGGCTCAATACCAGGAAAACCATTCCAAGCTAAGTTCCACCTCTAAGTTGCAGGACTCAATATTGTCTTTATATTCCATAGTGAGTTAGCAATCTCTTTATATTCCACAATGCTAAAACCATCTTAATTGATTATAGCAAAAGTCAAGCTATCATAAAAAACTCCAAGTTGTTTCACAAGCGAAAAAGTTAACCTTTTTTTTTAACATAGGTGGTTTGAGAGTGGGAGGGGAGAAAACAATTGTTTCCTTCAGATCTATCTTAAGAAAACAATAAAAATCCTAATATTAACTAGTTTCCTGCCTCATTTTTTGACAAGAAAAAATAACCATTTCCTCATTTTTAATGAGTAGAAAACTAGACATTTTTACTCAGCTACTTACGCACAGAACTTATCGTAGGCTCCTACTCCTGCTATTCTCTTGTTTCATCATTCAAAGTTCCTACAATTAAAGCTCTTGGACCACAATCTTTAATCAAAATAACTCAGTAACTCTACAACACGAAGTCCAAAAGCATAATGTTCTAGGAAGTGAGTAAGTACACAAGACTATACCTGTTGGTCCTTTCTACCAATCCCTAGAACTCCAAATAACAGGTATAAAATAATCCGTACATCTATAAACAAGCCTTGCACAAAAATAACGCTTCAAGTTAAACCTTAACTAATAACTGATCACATCTTCTCTGTATCCGTCATTAGCAAATTGTACTCCAGTAACGTAAAGCAGTTTAGTGCATGTTTACGTTTTTCTGAGTTTTTTCTTTTTCTTTAAAGCCCCGTTCACCACAATCACTAATCAAATTGAGAAATCATCATTTGCTAATAGTAATTTGTGAAAAACAAGATGTGTTTATGTATACTTTAATTCAACATCTAAAACACTGATGAGAATTGAGAACTACAACATCCTGAAAGGTGTTAACCAAAAGAACCCAATTATAGATGTGAGACTGTTTATAACTTCTGGAAATAAATCTTACCGAAGTGGAACAGTCAGGACACAAATATCCAGCTGGCGCAGTGTGTGGCGGAAAACTTTTAATATGTGAGACTAAGCAATTTGTATGTATAATATCTAAAATGAGCAAAAAAATGAAACGTAAGTTTTGCAGTGTGACTTCAACAGGATTTCATTTCTAAAAAACATAAAATTAATAATAATAATAATAATAAAATTGCATTTAAAAAACTTAAATATATATCACAGAATCACATACGCAAGCAACCCAATCGAGTAGTTTGAGAATCAGACTCCTCTTCTAGCACAGCACGACACTGGCAGCATTTAGGAGGCCAATCATACTCTCCATCTATAACCCATTCTGAGTAAGTACGAACCTACGAAATTTGACAACATAAGTAAGCATAACCCAAATAGATCAAAATCCTATCTGGCCAACAAGATATCATTTAATAAAGTTAAACTTCAAATGCAGCATATGCATGTGCACAAGATACAGATATCTTATCAAGAAAATAATACAGATAATCCTATGTAAAGTTAAAATAGCCATACACAACTAACCAGTACTGATGCCTTTCTAGGGAATCCTACCAAATAAGTAAGAGAAACTTGAAGTAGAAACGGACCCAACAAAGCAAACACCAAAAAGAGAACAAAAAAAGGAAAATGTAACAGTTAATAATCAATGCCAAAAGGAAATCACTAACAAAAAGATATGATGCCTTCAAGGCTCTGTCAAATTTCATTCCTGAAAACTGTTTTTCAGTTTTCATAAACAGAAAATCAGAAAAGACTATACACCAGTTGTAATAACTAATTTGAAAAAATTTCGTGAAAAGTGGGCAACTGGGTCCATAAAAATAAAAAAATTAAAAAAACAACTTAAAACTGAACTTCTTTTCAAACTGTTTAGCATTTCCATTTTAAGAAATCTGGAAATAAAGCAAAATACCAATCACTTTCGAAAAATCTAAACCAAATACACCATTGTTGAGATACTTACACGGTGTGCGAGTTCACAAAATGAGAATACATAGGAACCAAATCAAACCATTAGAAATAGTTACAACAGACAAATGACATAAACATCGCCATAGTTGCATTTGAATGACATCAATCTCAGAACTCTAACGTAACTGTGAACAGGTTAGGAAACCTAAATTCTCAAAACAACCCATTTATGAAAATTCACTCCATGCTTCCATGGTCTTGATAATATGAGTAAGCAGCAACTGCATCATTTGCACATGCTGCTAAGTAAATAGAGAGAACACAAGCACAAACTCTGGCAGGAGCACACTAACACTCTCAAAAACACATGAACATAGTTTATGAAGATTTCTCTTTCGCAAAGCTAGAAATATCGTCTTGTGCAATGCATGTGCTCCTTGTCCCTAAATGATCTCTCTCACACTTTCATTTTGGCAAGTTACCTTCAAATTCGGGAATATTGGATCATGTGGCAAAACTAAAAATTTCACCTTAACAATATTTATTGAGAAGCTGAGGGGCAACACAAGCACAAACTGTGGCATGAGCATGCGCGCACACACAAAAACACATTAAAATCATCACTAAATTTTTTTATCTAGTATGCTAAATATATTGTCTTGCAATATGCATGTCTTCCTTGCCCCTGTTTGATTTCTCTACTCACTTCCAAATTTCTCAAACTTTCAGTTCATTGAGTTCAAAAAGTTCGCTTCAAAGTGGCGGATAATGGGGTATATTTTTTATAAAAAAATTAATATTTTACTAGCAGGTCGTTGCTTGATCCAATGGCAAAGCTCGAGCTGGTGAGTGTGAGGATGCAGATTCAAGTAGTGATTCATGAAGCAGCCACTTTGTGAACGTTCAGTTTGCTTCCCATCTTCCCATTTCAACATTCTATCTAGGGCCCTAGACAGGACTGGTTCACTGATGATGTATGTCTTCTTAATATTTCTTTCTCCCAGTAAGTGCCTTTTTGTAACATTTCACCTTATGTATTTTATTGAGATGATGTTTCATATATTATGGGAGCAAAAAGGAATAACCTAATAAGAGAGAAAAGTTAAATCTTTTCCTACCAATAACAAAACCCTCAATTGCATCCACAATTAATAAGAGACAAACCTTAATTCTTTTCTTACCCACGACAAAACCCTCAATAACATCCACAATTTCAACTGCAGAGTAAAACCTACTAAGAAAGAACATAAACAACCACAATTAGAGGAATATGGGTTCCCCCTGAAAGCATCTAGAAGCCCTGAACCAACCTCTATGCTCACCATAAACAATAGCACAAAATTCACAAAAAAACAAGCATATCCTAATCCAAGATCACCAATTCTCTGTTAATCAAGGAATTGCAGAAACACAGGCATCAGAATGATTTCCCTACAGTTGATCCAGACCTGTTCACTGCTGTTCATGAAGGTGGGGTGGACAATTCTAAGGAATGGAAGTCTTGTTTTGACAAGGCAGAGGAGGCCGGGGGAGGTGATGAGGGAGAGAGTAGGGATGACGAAGGTAGGCCCCTTGACATGATTTTGTGGGAGGAGGAGTGTCACTCTAATTTGGGGATTGTTGACCCCCCGGCAGTTGTGCGTCCGGAGGTTCCGGATTGTAATGTTGATAGACAAGAGTATGGCGAATTAGGTAAGAAGTGGGTTTTGGAAAATATCGTGGTCACCAGCGATTTGTTGGGGGTCTCTTGTAATGATAATCAGGATCAGGCCTTAGCAATTCTTCAGGCCACGGTGGAGGGGAAGGAAGGGGAGATGATCCAGTTTTCTAGGAGGAGGAATAGAAAGAAGAAGGTTCATTCTCCTTGGAGAGGGGAGAGGGAGTTGAGAAACCTTTGTTCTGATGTGAATTATGATAGGACGCTCGTGGGGGAGGTGGAAGGAGGGCGTGTTAAGGAGGGGGGGAGGAGTTTGGGGGAGGTGGGGGATTCTGTTTTTCCATAAAGCTACGAATCTTATCTTGGAATGTTCATAGTCTCAATGACCTGGGCAAGAGGAAGGTGGTGAAGATGGCTGTGAGAAAATGGGGGGTCCATTTGGTGTGTCTTCAGGAATTGAAGATCGAATCTATGACTGACCGTGTGGTTAAGAGTCTTTAGGGAAATAGGTTTGTGGAGTGGGATACCTTGAATTCAGTTGGGACTTCTGGAGGAATTCTTCTCATGTGGGATAGGAGATGGATGGCAAAGGTGGATGTTTGCAGGGGGCACTTTTCTTTGTCTTGTATTTTCAAGATGGAGGAGGACGACTTCTCTTGGGTCTTTTCTTGTGTGTATGGGCCGATGAATGACTGCGATAGGCCAGTTTTGTGGGAGGAGCTTAGTGGGGTGAAGGGGAGGTGGACTTTTCCTTGGTGCGTGGCAGGAGATTTTAATGTGGTGAGATCCCCGTCGGAGAGATCTACTGGGGGTGCATGGACCCAGGCTATGGTTCTTTTTTCGGAGTTTATTGATGGTCATCAGCTTATTGATCTTCCATTGGAGGGTGCTTCTTTTACTTGGTCCAGTAGGAGGGAGACGCCTACCTTTTCCCATCTAGATAGATTTTTGCTCTTTGGAAAGTGGGAGGAGAAATTTCCGGATGCTGCTCAAGCCGCTCTGACTAGAGTCATGTCGGATCATATTCCTTTGGTTTTGGACTGTGGAGGGTTGTGTTCACGTCGTACCCTGTTCAAATTTGAGAATATGTGGCTTAGGGCAGTGGACTTTTAAGGGTTGGTGAGGTCTTGGTGGGAGGAGGATATGGTTGTTGGAACTTCGAGTTTCATTTTCGCAGGGACGTTTCGCCTTTTAAAAGATAAGCTCAAAACATGGAATAAGGAGGTCTTTGGTAATCTGGAATGGAGGAAGAATCGAGCCCTCGCTGACATTGCAGAGTTAGACAGATTGGAAGCAGTGAGTGGTCTTGTTGAGTCTCAACGTAACAGGAGAGCAACTTGTCAGGCTGAATGTGGCGATATTGCAATTTTTGAGGAAATCTCGTGGCGACAAAAATCTCGGGCCTTGTGGCTTAAGGAAGGTGACCGTAATACTAAGTTCTTTCATCGTACCGCTAATGCTCATAGGAGGGGCAATCATATTGGGCGGATGTGTGTGGACGGAACAATGTTGAGCTCTGAGGAGGAAGTGCGTACGGGGATTGTTCCATTCTATCAGAGGTTGTACACTGAGCCTCTTCATTGGAGGCCACGTCTCGATGGTCTTCATTTTGACTATATCTCAGTGGAGGATAAAGAAGGGCTTGAGAGACCCTTTACGGTGGAGGAGGTTCTTTTGGTGCTGAGGAGTTGTATTGGTGACAAAGCCCCAGGTCTAGATGGTTTCATGATGAGGTTCCTTCTGGAGAGTTGGGGGGTGGTTCGTCAAGAGGTTATAGGCGCTTTTCATGAGTTCCATTCTAATGGGAGGTTTGAAAAGTCATTGAATACTTCTTTTATTGCTCTCATCCCAAAGAAGGGAGGGGCAACTGACGTTAAGGACTTTAGACCCATTAGTCTAATTGGGTGTATGTATAAGCTGATCGCTAAAGTCCTTGTGCTTCGTTTGAGGGGGGTTTTGGATAGCGTCATTTCTGATTCTCAGAATGCGTTTGTTGGGGGTAGACAAATTCTGGATTCCGCCCTTATTGCCAGTGAATGTGTGGATTTCAGGCTCAGTAGCGGGATTCCGGGTGTTTTGTGCAAACTGGACATCGAGAAAGCTTATGATCATGTTTGCTGGAATTTTATGTTTTATCTGTTAAAGAGGATGGGTTTCGGAGAGAAATGGAGGCGATGGATTGTTACTTGTGTCTTGTCTGTCAGATTCTCGGTGTTGGTCAATGGGTCCTCATCCGGGTTTTTTGGCAGCTCCCGTGGTTTGAGGCAAAGGGACCCTCTCTTTTCTTTCCCGTTCATTATTGTCATGGAGGCTCTTAGTAGGTTGATGAGGAGAGCTGTGGACTTGGGGTTTATTCAGGGCTTCAAGATTGGTTCTGACGCAGCTCATCTGTTGGAAATTTCTCATTTGCTTTTTGCGAATGACACTCTGGTTTTCTGTGAGGCTGAGGAGTCCCAGTTGAGATACTTACGTTGTGTCCTTGTTTGTTTTCAGGCAGTCTCTGGGTTGAAAGTCAACGTGGGAAAGAGTGTTATTGTCCCTGTGGGGGATATTTAGGAGGTGGAGTCTCTTACAGCTGTTTTAGGGTGTAGGACGTGCTCCTTCCCTATTTCTTATTTAGGCTTGCCTTTGGGTGTCTCAACAAGAAGGGTGGGAAGCTGGGACCCGGTGATTGAGCGTTTCGAGAGAAGGCTGGCAGGGTGGAAAAAGCAATACCTTTCGAAGGGGGGAAAAGTTACTCTGGTGAAGAGTACTTTATCTAGTCTCCCAACTTATTTCTTGTCGCTCTTCCAGATCCCCTCTACTGTTGTTGGAAGACTTGAGATACTCCAACAGAATTTCTTGTGGGGCGGTAGAGGTAAGGAGTTTAAGTATCATCTTGTTCGATGGGAACAGGTTTGCAGGCCCTTTAGGTTGGGAGGCCAAAGGATTAGGAGATTAGCCCCTTTCAACAGGGCCCTCCTAGGCAAATGGCTTTGGAGGTTCGGCAGTGAACGATATAGGCTACGGAGGAAGGTTGTTTCTTGTCAGTTTGGAGAGGAGAGGGGGGGATGGTCCGCTAGACCGGTTAGGTCGCCTGTCGGTGTGGGGTTTTGGAAATCCATTAGGAGAGGTTGGGATGATTTCTCAAAGCATATTAGATTCAAAGTCCGGGAAGGTTTTTCATTTTTTTTTTTTTTAAATTAAAACAACAAATCACCGATCATTAAAATCATCAAGTCAACACACGATTCAAAACTCTTTCAGAGAATTTTTAAAAGTATCTTAGGGAACAAATTTTTGACTCCACAGATTTTTCAAATAATTTCAAATCGTAGAAAGTAATCACAACTTGAAATCAAACTTGCAAATTTTAATGAAAAATTTAGAAATTAATCTAGCAAGTTCATGTGTGTGTGTAAAATCCAATCTAATCCATTTTCAATCGAATTTCAACAAATCATTGTCTAAACTTTATTGATCGAAAAGTATCAAGCTAAAATTGTTTTGAGCAATTTTTCTAAGCAAGGTGGCTTTCACTCTAAGAGCAGTCAGCAATTCCCCAATTCAACTTGTCTCCACCTTTCTTTTTACTCAATTAGCTCCTCTTCAAAGTCTAATGGGAGCTTTCGATCAAATCTCAATAGGTAGCATTTTTCTTAACAAAGAAGTCAACAATTTTTTCTTTTCTTTTCAAGCTGAATTTTTCTTTTTAAGCTCCTATTTTTTTTTTTTTTTTTTTTTTTTTTTTTTTTTTTTTTTTTTCAGACAATAACCTTTATACCTTTTGTGATCTATTACCATAGTCAATAGATCAAAAGATTTTCAACCAAATTTTTCAGAGATGGACTAGTGCACAAAAGTCTATGAACTTAAGAGATTCAAATCTAAAAATCCCTTAATCAATGCAAATCATCTTTCATTGTATAGATTACAAACTAAGAATCTATTTTCATCAAATTATTATGTGCCTCAATTTGCATTCAAAGAAAGATCATAAATTCCTCGAAAGAATTTTCACATGTATATCATGAAGAATGTGATCAGAAACTCAACACTTAAACCAAACCCTAACAAGTGATCTAATGGCAACAACATATACACTAAAGCCCTAGCCATGATCACTAGAAATCCTAGGCCTCAGTTTGAAGGTGAAGTCCTTTTGGAAACTACTTCCATGGACTCAACAGGCACATAATTGATCAAATTAGACTTTTTGATCCACACAGTTTTCACTATCACTTCCTGAAATTCTCTTTCATTCTTTACCTCTTTCTTAGGCAAATTTTCAGCTTTAGAAAACTTAGGTGACACAAAATTCTTTTTTTTCCTAGAACGCACCTTTTTCTTAGCATGAGAATCATGAGAATGAATTTTTGACAAATCTTTCTTTTTCCTATGTAAACATGAATGATTTTTATGTCCATTCTTACCACAAAAGGCGCAATGCAACAGTTTAGGCACATAAGACACATCAGAATGCAATGCATCAGGCAAACATGGTTTAGGCATACAAACATCAGTAGGTTTAACAAAAATTCTTTTACCTTGATTACTAGATGAACCTTTTTCAAAACCTAACCCAGTTTTATCATTCACATTACCCACGTTGATCAATTTATTCAAAGTGTCTTGACTTAAAGTAAACCCTTTCAGTTTATATTGTGCAGTTTGTAATAGAATTACTTCAATGAGTTAGCACTACTTACCTTATCCTCAATAATGACGATTTTATCATTAAGCTCAGTGATGATAGAATTGTTTTCAGAAGCTTTCCTTTTCCCTCCATCAATTTGTTTTCTTAGATCTTCATTCTCTCATTTTGCTTGGATAAGCTCCTTTGCTAACTTCTTGACTACCTATTTGACTTCAATGGTTTCTTCGACCATCTTCTTCAATCTTTCATCGTCCTTTTCATCCTCTTGCACCTGTTCATCATGAACTTCATTGTCTTCATTATCTGAAATATCAGAGTCATCTAAGTAACGATATGAGGACCTTTTTCAAGAAAAGCGACATAAGAAAAATCATTAAAATCATCATGAGGAGAATTATTATCACTTAAAGCAGAATTTTTAGAAATAGAAACTTTCATTGCTTTTCCTTTATTCCTATCCATGAGTCCAAAGGAGCATAAGGAGTTGAATCAACAAGTTATGGAGTTATTGAACAAGGGATTTATTCACGAGAGCATGAGCCCATCTGCTGTCCCAGCCCTTCTCACGCCAAAGAAACACGATTCTTGGCGTATGTGCATGGATAGTCGAGCTATCAACAAAATAACCGTTAAGTACCGGTTTCCGATTCCTCGTCTTGATGATATGCTGGATATGCTTGCAGGTTCTTCAATCTTCTCAAAAATTGACTTGAAGAGTGGCTATCATCAAATCCGGATTAGGCCGGGTGATGAATGGAAAATGGTTTTAAAACGAAGGATGGATTATACGAGTGGTTAGTAATGCCATTCGGATTATCCAATGCACCCAGCACTTTCAGGCGTGTGATGACCACTTCTTGGCAGGTGCGTAGTTGTTTATTTTGATGATATTTTGGTGTACAGTCGCCACATTGATGAGTACCTACAACACCTTTGTTCAGTTTTTGATATATTAAGGAGATAACACTTATACGCTAACCTGAAGAAGTGCAGTTTTGCAGCAAACAGATTGGTAGTTTTGGGTTATGTGGTCTCTTCTGCAGGTATTATGGTAGATGATGAAAGATAAAAGCCATTCTTGAGTGGCCCACACCTGCCACAGTGCATGATGTGAGGAGTTTCCATGGTTTGGCGACATTTTATAGGCGTTTTATTCGCAATTTCAGTACTATTGCTGCCCCACTTACTGATTGCATTGGGAAAAAATCCTTACAATGGACCCAAGAGGTGGAGAAGAGTTTTCAAGCACTCAAGCAGAAACTAACACAAGCACCAGTTCTTGCTTTGCTGAATTTTGAAGAGGTATTTGAGGTAGATTCTGATGCTTCAGGCGTTGGCATTGGTGCTGTCCTTAGCCAACAAGGAATACCTATTGCATATTTTAGCGAGAAGCTTACTGTTGGAAAGCTCAGGTTTTCAACTTATGACCTAGAGTGTTATGCCATTGTCCAAGCTTTGCGACATTGGTGGCATTACCTTTCTTACAAGGAATTCATCTTGCATTTGGATCATGAAGCTCTTAAGTACATCAATAGTCAACCCAATTTGAGTTCAAGGCATACTAGATGGGTGAGTTATTTGCAGCAATTTACTTTTACTTTGAAGCATTAGGCTGTACAATCAATCGTGTAGCGGATGCCTCAAGTAGAAGAGCATCTCTGCTTGTGGTTATGCGTACACAAGTTGTGGGATTTGATTCTTTTCGAGATTTGTACGTAGAAGACCCTTACTTTGCGCCTATATTGGAAGAAGCCAAATCTGGGCAGCGATCGGAGTATTTCTTGCAAGAGGGATTTCTCTTCAAAGGCTTAAAATTATGCATTCCAGAATGTTCCTTGCGCGAAAAGATCATAATAGAGCAGCACAACTTGGGACATTTTGGAAGAGATAAGACCCTAGAGCTTATTGGAATTGAGTACTATTGGCCTAACTTGAGAAAGGATGTTGCAAGGCATTTGGAACGTTGTCGTGTGTGTCAAAGAGCCAAAGGGGTTGCAATTAATGCAGTCCTTTACATGCCTTAACCAGTACCCAGTGTTGTTAAAGGCGCGCCTAGGCTCAAGGCACAAGTCTAGCGCCTATTGTCATCCCATGCAAACATCCCATGCTCATTGATATTTTCTAGGCGCACCCCTCGGTTGCGCCTCATCTTATTTGTCTAGGCACGCCTCGCTGTTTTTTGTTTTTTTTTTTAAATGATTGTTCTATCTCTTAAGCCAAAAAGGGTACTTTTGGCAACTTAATAAACAAATAAGAAAGCCTAAGCATATCAGAGAAGTATCTTTTGTTCAAAAGAATAAACAAATAAGAAAGTCCAAGACCGAACATAGAAAGAATGAGACTGTAAGAGCAACGACGAAGCCCTAGTGGCAAAGACGAATGACGAAGCCATGTCAGTTCTTTCTCTCTTCTTCTCTATCTTCTTCTCTCTCCTCTCTTCTTCTCTACTCCTCTCTTCTCATCTTTGTTTACTTCTCTCTCCGTCTAGTTCTCTTCTCTCTGTCTATTTTTTTTTGGGGGGGCTCTATTTTTTTCTCCTTTTTCTTCTTGAACACTCTCTCTCTTTTCTCATCTACTTCTCTGTCTTCATCTACTTCTTTTGTCTCCGTGTCTTTTTTTTTTTTTTTTTGGCTCTATTTTTTTTTTCCTTTTCTTGTTAATGGTTTTTTTTAATAAATTTATTTCTTTTTGTACTCTGTTTTGCCTTTCAAGAAAACAAATTTGTGCTACGTTTTATGGTTCTTGAATGCTTATATAGTTGATGGATTTACTTTTTTATATTTGATATTAATTTTTAGAATATAACTTGTGAGATATGAATGCTATTATAGTAGTTTAAAATTTCAATTGTGCGCCTCACTTCACTCAGACGCGCCTCACCGTGCGCCTTGCGCCTAGGCTCCAAAGGATCTCTAGCGCCTTGATGCGCCTTGAGCCTTTAATAACACTGCCAGTACCTAATCGTCCTTGGGTGGCCATTAGCATGGATTTTGCGCTTGGGTTGCCTCTCACTCAAAGGAAGTGTGACTCTATTATGGTGGTGGTCAACAGATTCTCAAAGATGGTGCACTTTATTCCTTGCAAAAGGACTATGGACACTTCTAATGTTGCTAATCTTTTCTTTAAAGAGATTTACAGGTTGCACGGTGTTCCACATTCTATTGTTTCAGATAGAGACACCAAGTTTGTTGGTCACTTTTGGCGAACTTTATGGAAGAAGATTTGGAGCTTGATTTTAGCACTTCTTTTCATCCTCAAACCGATGGGCAGACACAAGTTGTCAATAGGAGTTTGGGCAATTTGTTGAGATGCTTAACAGGTGACAATCACAAGAGTTGGGATTTAAATCTTACAACAACTCTTTCTCCTTTTGAGGTTGTCTTTGGAGCAAAACCGAATAGTGTGCTTGATTTGGCTCCAATTCCTATTTCAAAGAAGGTCAATGTTAAGGCAGAAGACATGGCTGCGCTTATGCAAGAAATTCATGTGAAAGTGAAACAACAGATTGAAGCATCCAATGCGAAATATAAGGCTACTACAGATTGTCACAAGAGAAGGGTGATTTTTTAAGTTGGAGATTATGTTTGGGAAATCCTATCAAAAGATCGAGTTCCACCCGGTTCTTACACCAAGTTGAGGGATAGAAAGATTGGTCCATTCGAGGTGATTAAGAAGATTAATGATAATGCCTACCAACTTAAGTTACCAAGTCAGATGTTTTTAATGTCAAGCATTTGGTTCCTTACAAGAGCCATTATTCTGATGAGGATTCTGACAACTCGAGGGGAGTTCTATCCAACACGGGGACTGATGTTGCTGTGGACCCAGCAAAAAGTTCCAGAAAAGGAAAGAGGTTGAGGGAAGACAAGGAGAACCAGAAATTTATAGAAAGTTTTGATTTGTTCCAATTTGATTTTCAGCAACTTTCCTATTTGATTTTGACTTACATGGTAGTTAGCTAGTCTTATATGGTAATTAGCTAGTCTTGGGTTTATATAAAGCTTTGTAATTTCTGAGGTTGGATCAGTTTTAGAATTGCAGAGAATTATTTTACAGCAAATATAGTTTGCCTTTCAATTCTCCTTTCTATTGCTTTTTGCTCTTATTTCGTTTCAATATTGCTATGGAGACGATTTATTCGTATCCTCTTGGTAAGGCGGCATCAGGTTGGTGTCAAAGCCTTGGTTCGGCTTTCCAACTGCTCAGTCATGCCTCCACGACAACAACCGAGAGGAGGAAATCGTAGGATGCAAGGTCCGGCTGAACGCTTACCCCAACAACAGCAAGACGAGATAGAATTTTTGCGGAGACAAGTTGAGATGTTGACTCAACACTTGGGTCAGCATGTTATCAACCCGTTGGTTAACAACGACCAGCCTGTTGATGACAATATTCCAGTGGATGACAGTATGTCAAGCATTGGGACTGTCGCAGAAAATCCTTTCTATGTTCCGCGTCGCCATAGATCTCCCGACGAGCGGATTGACTGCCGTTGGCAGTCGCATATCAAGGTTGAGGTTACAGAGTTTCATGGAAGCTTGAAGCCTGAAGAGTTCATCGATGGCTGAATACAATTGAACGTATCTTTGAATACCATGAGGTACCTGCTCACAAAAAGGTCAAGCTCATTGCTATTCGTTTGAAAGGAAGGGCATCGGCTTGGTGGAAGCAACTACGGATTACCCGGGAGCGTAGGGGTAAGCCAAAGATCGTAGAATGGGAGAAGATGAAGAAAAAAATGAACAGTTTTTGCATCTTAATTATGTCCCAACAATGTATCAGCATTTGCATAATTTAAGGCAAGGGACTCGCAACGTGGACGATTATACCGAAGAATTCTATCATCTAATTGCACGCAATGATTTATCGGAGAGCGATGAGCAGCTCGTAGAGCGTTACATAAGTGGATTGAAGCCTAGTATACAGGAGGTCCTACTTTTACTTTCGTATTGGTCCGTTTCAGAGGCCTATCAGAGGGCTTTGGTGGTAGAAAAACAACAAAACAAGCCATTCTTGCGCTCTAACAGCATTTCTGCCAGATTGCAGCCCACTTATAAGGGAGAATCAGCCCCTACAACAGTGCGAAACGGGGCCCAAAATGGGGGACAGCAGCTGCCACCTGTTGGTGGAGTTAAAGAGCAGGCTGCCCATGCTGGAAACCGCCAAAATTATGGAAGGACAGCAGGCCAAAATCGAGGTGGAGACCTTGGTATGAGGTGTTGTAAGTGTGGAGAGCCCGGACATAAATCGGCAGTGTAGAAAACAGGGAAAACAGCTTTTGATCGAGGAAGATGATTCAATTCTGGAGGACAAACCAAAAT